GTTCCTTTCATTTTCTCTCATGTTCCTATCGCGTTCCTCCATTTCCTTTCATTTCCTCTACCTCGATTGTTTTCAGCATGATATTGGGGTACATTTTGGGAGCATTATCTCGGCGACCGGCGGAAGGGACAATGCTCATGAATACGCGAGAATAACTCTTGAAGTTGAACTCCGACATTGTCCAATTTGTAGGCAGATCTGAAGAGAGGAGATACACAAGTTTTCGTGTCCAAACCAAATTTGTCCAACTCTGTATCCATGACGATAGACTGAGGAACGCCTGCAGTTCAGTCTGGCCGAGCCTCCCCTGGTCGCACTTTCGCTGCCCAACGCCGCTTGTGGATCCTTATAAAACAAAGACAGTTTTCTTCTATTTTTCTCGCGCATCTTGGCCCCGAACACCTGGCGCCGCCACAGCTTTTCCCCATCTAATTCTGGTCCAAAACGAGCCTCCCCTGGTCGCACTTTCGCTGCCAAACGCCGCTTCTGGATCCAGAGAACAAAGACAGTTTTCTTCCATTTTTCTCGCGCATCCTGGCCCCGAACACCCTAAACCCTAAACCCTAAATCAGAGGTCCGGGAAAAGTTTGAAGCTTAGCAAACGGCGCCAGTTCGAAGCTTAGCAAACGGCGCCAGTTCTGGCCCCCAAAAAACCTCGATTCTTCAAACTTAGCTACCCCCAAGCCCCAAACAGCTACCCGTAATCCCTGGCGCGCTCCCCCTTGCTACGGCGGGGTCGGCGGATAGTTTATATGTAACATAATCGACAACTGTGGGCGTAGTTGATGATGGCGCAGATGCTCGGACAAAGCTCACGGACTTATGCATATGTGCGCTTGATTTCTCGCGGCACGCAATTAAAGAACAGACTCTTCCTTTTTCTCTTCAGAGCCGCAGATGCAAGGCTCCTTGTTGGGGCAGATGCAGGGCACTTGCTCCTTGGAGCGAAAGGCAGTTGATGGCATTTTGCTTGTGGATGCCTGGTCTGCGGCATCCCCTGCGTATGCAGCACGTTCGTTTCACAGGTGGGGGTGGTTCCATCAGTTCATGTCAATCTCTCGAAGTTCTTTCCATCCAGGTGCGGGATTGACACATGAAACGAGCGAAGGATTTTCCACCTTGAGAGTGTAATTAGCGAGTTGGTTGGTGTCATTTTTCAGACCAAGACATCCGACTTGCCGTGTCCCCAGACAATTTTTGCTGAGAACCACCAGCTGCAACCACGAAACGTAGCACCTGGTGCATCTACGTCTACGATCATTTACGCACACTGCCACAGGAATCGATGACCACAATAAAAAGACCTTTTTTGTTTGTCCTGCTACTTTTCCACATGTTTTGTGATCTTAGCTACTTCGATTTCGACAGCTGTCGCGGTAGATACCACCTCCGTCCTGGAGAGACCTCCCGCCGGACTCGTCACACCACGTGTCTTGGAGCGTCGGTGTGAGCTGTTCTAAGGCTTTGCGGCCTGGAAAGCCGCAGCGGAAGATGGCCGGGCAGCCGATCTGAGCAGAGCCACAGAGATATGCCACGGTACCCTGATGACATTCGTCTCAAAAGGAGGGCATGAAACTTCAATAGACATTTTGGGGACCTGAGGCTTCATTGAAGCATTCTGGTAATTCCGAATTGTCCACTTGTTCACTCATTAAGGTCCATGATGAACCCCCCCATGGACGTGGACGATAGTGTCAATGTGAACGATGTGGACGTTTCGTACTAGTGACTAGTAGTGTCAAAACACACAGTCATATGAAATCTTTTGCACGGCTGACTCAAACTTGTTCCGCCAAACTGGACGACTTGATTGACTTGATTGCGACCCTTCTCGTAACATTTGGCCCAAGATAGAGACTGTAGCTTCAAGATTTCCCTGGAGCTTGTCTTTATAGTTTCGACCAGTCGGGTAGACAACTTGGACCGACCGGTTTCGGTGAATTGAAGCTGGGAGCGCCCCTCCTGTTTCTCCAAGGGACCAGCCACACCAAGCTCGGGCTTTACCTTATCCAAACCAGACCAGACCCAACCAGATCACAGCTTTGAAGCCGTGCTTCGGATGAGCTATCAGTGCCTACCCTGTCAGAACACAGACAACTCGCAACAGTCTTCTCACCCTTTGTGCTGATGTTGATGTCCAAAATACCTACAACTTGCCTACAACCCTCTACTTCTCTAATCTACTTCTCTCTACTCCTCGCTTCCCTTCTAACTCCTCGCTTAGTCTTCTTCCTGCTCCACAGCTCCATGGCGCATGGCGCAGCTCCAAGAGCTCTTGCGCTTGGCACACACGCCGAACCCGCAGATGCAGTCTGCCACGCAGCAGTTGTCCAGCCTGGAGAGGGAGGGGAATATATGGGTATATATGTTGGGTCCAGGATTCGCTATGAGCCGTCGAGATCCGTTTGATTGAGCCGTATGGAGCCAGCGAGCTTTTTCAAACGCTTTTGACCTCAACGCAGCTAGCATATCTCATCTATTCCCCCCAGGCGCAGAGGCCTTTCCTATTAGGTTGGACGCCATTGCTTCTAGGTTGGAGGCCATTGGTATTAGGTTGGAGACTTGTCAATGTATTTCGCACAGGAGCTCCAGCCGGGCTTTGGCGCAGCACTGCTGGCGTTGCTGCAGAGTTGCGGTGAGGCGCTCCTGGCGCAGGTCGGGTCTCTCGGGTCCAGGTCTCGGAAGAACAGCGAGCAAATACAATGTGCTCATGACGCTACATGTAGCTCCTGACCTTACTAACTACTAGTAACAAGAAGCTATTAGAAACAAGTGCCACGCTAGTAGTAACAGGTGCCTTACTACTAGTAACAAGGATGCTACTAGTAACAAAGGGCATCGCTACGAACGGAGAGATCGGACGCTACGAACGGGGCTGCTGGTCTTACGACTAATACAATTGCACTCATGAACTAAACCCACCAACTCGTGGGAACTCACTCGAAGTGGAATCTTTAAGTTGTTTGCTTATTTGACTCGTGCTTCTTTTTGATTGGAATGGTTGGAAGTTGGATTGGTTTTGAAAGACGGTCGAGAGGAGTTTCTTCCACTTCATGTTGTCAAGTCGGTTACTTGGAGGCTGCAAGCGATGGCCTCCAACCTACTAGCGATGGCCTCCACCCTACTAGCGATAGAGGTTGGAGTTATCCTTACTTGTTTGATGCCGTGATGAATGTGCTTCTTTGCGTCGGTCACATTATTTGGTTCATCCTCGGGGACATGAAAAATAAGTCAATAGCATTCTTCTCCTCGCGCCATGTCTCGCTATTTCGTGAAGAACGGGTTGGGACAAATCACTAAAGCTCCCATTCGCCCCAGGCCGCAGCCATATACTTGAAGAACTTCTTACAACGGCGATGGCAGAGCTTGGAGGATTTGACAGTGGGACGTTGGATGGGGCCAAAGAAAGCATCAGACAGGTGTTGGTGACACATGCGTGGTAGGTTGCTGATCTCAAGTGAAAGCACAAAAGGATCCATGTGGGAATATTGTTTATAAAATCAGGGGGATGTGTTCAGACATCAGGAGGATTCTATAGAGAAAATATGTTTTTACTGTAAAGCTCTATATGATCAAAAGGCAACAAATCAAGCAATGAGCATCAAAAATCATTTTGTGGCATAGGCCAGACATTTTTTTTAATAGAAAGCACGTTGGCAACCTGGGAACAGAATCTATAGAAAGAGACTTGCCTGAAAAAGGTGAAACATGAATTCTATAAAGGAAGCATTTTATAGAGGTCATAAAAGACAGGAACAAGATGCTATAGAAAGCAGAACCTCTCGGACAGAGCAGTCGCACAGGTTCCTTCTGAAGAGCGGCCAAAACTTATGTGTTCAATCGGTTTTTCACTCTATAGAAATCAGTCCTGTCACGGGTTCAACATTTTCTGTCTGATTCTTGGTTCCCCTGTTTGAGATTATATTTTTTAGTATATAAGTACTATCTAACAAAGAATTGGGACGCTTGTCCCAGGTGGACCTGTGCCATCAGATTTTTATAGTGTGGCCATGTTGTTTTAAGGATTTTATAGTTTGAAAGTATCTACTCCAACTGGTCTTTTTGTAGGAGCTGGCCCTCAGCTCCTACCTGAAACTCACACCCAGATTAAAAAGGTGTGTCTTGAGTTTCTGTTGTGAAGATCAGGTGGGGTATGGTGGGGTTGAGATCTAGCTGTTCAAGAATGCAGGGTGATCCAATGCGAATGCCACACTTCTCCAATGCGAATCTGTCCTGACTTCTCAGAACTGCACTCTTCCCTGCAGATTGGCCTCCTTTTGTCAAAACTAGCCTTGTATAATCCTTTTGACAGCAAAGTGGGTTGAAATGACTGATATCACTGATATCCCAAGTTTTCATGGAGAGATTGGATGACTTCTCACTGGATGATATCCGCAACTATCGAACAATCAACTGCGAAAAGACAAGAAAAAGAGCCCACCATACTACTTCCACTCCACCACCTTCCACTCCACTCCACCTTCCGGTCCACCATGACTGGTGACCGGCAGGACCGGGAGATGTTGCGGGACTCGCTGGTGCCGGTGGCCCTGGCGGCCGAGAAGCCGGTGCGGAAGCAGCTCTGCGCGGCGGTGGAGGAGTCGACGGACGGAGCCCCGTTCGTAGCGTCCGAACGCTCCGTTCGTAGCGAGGCCCTTTGTTCCTAGTAGCATCCTTGTTTCTACTAGTAAGGCACCTGTTACTACTAGCGTGGCACTTGTTTCTAATAGCTTCTTGTTACTACTAGTAAGGCACCTGCTCCTAGTAGCGATGCCAGGAGCCTAGTAGCGTCCTTGTTCAAAGCCATTTTTTCTGACTTGGTCTCAACACTCTGAAAGGAAAGAAAACAGAGCGATCCGAAAAAGCAACCTTCCAACATGTCCGGAAAGCATCCGGCGCGCCACTTGGGGTTCCACGCCAGGAGTTGGCGCTGCAGGACCTTGACCGTTGGCCGCAACTGTTGCCTCAGCTGGTGAGCGCCCACAGTGCCAGTCGAAGCAATGCACAGCCGGGGAGACCCAGCAGACCGAGTGCAAAAGAGAAAGCACCCCAGACCCGGAACGGCAGCGCTGGCATCCCTACTTGCTACCAGTCATGCCGTTAGTAGTAGCGATGCCCCCCTAGTAGCGTCCTTGCTCCTAGTAGCGATGCCCTTTGCCTGAAGATCTCAGGGGTGCCTTGGAGTTGGCCCATGCAGCGCTGCGGCAGCTCAGGGCCGAAGGGCGGCACGTGGAGATGTCGCGTCAAGCGAGGCGAAGACCGGGTGGCGGCGGGCGATTCTGACCGTTTGGGAGGGCTAGACCGAGCTGTGTGTCTCATGCTTGGGTGTCTCATCACCTCATCACGGTCCTTCGGATTTGAATCCCATCCCTTGTGGCCCTTGTGGCATGAAGCTTCCCCTCATCCAGAACCATTGACAGAGGCATACTGACTGGTGGCACTTGTGTTGCTTCATGTCCATCTTTCGCTGTCCTGCCAGGTGCTTCGCGGAGGTCTTGGGGCCAATGCACTTGGAGCTTTGGCGGCTCGCATGCGACAGGCGCTGAACATTCTTGCACATCACTTGCAGCATTTGCAGCTACTTGCTCTTAGGTCGGAGGCCATCGCTAGTAGGCCCTTGTTGACACTTCCATTTGGCAGGGTGGTTTCGGACATCCCAGGCACGCTCCGCATGGTTGGTTCACCGGTCTCTGGAGAAACTATGCTTCGCGCGAAAAGGGATACTGCTTTGGTAGAAGATCACATCGAAAGGACATGAAAAGACAATAATTACATGTCGTTCAAGTTTGAAAAGGGCCTATATAGCTCTTTCTTGGTGTTTTTTCCTGCCATTTGTCCTCCTGGATTCAGCGTGGGCTTAGCGAGTCTAGGCATCCCATGACACCCGACACTCCTGTGGCTTGGTTCGGGTGCCAAGTAGCAGTGCTTTCCCCGAAAACTGAACAGATACACAGCGACGCCAGCCGCGGACTTGTCGACTCCTCCAATACTGATGTTGCGGAGGGACGCACCCCATCACTTGTTGAATGCTCAAGTTTGGAATAGCAATTCCAAGCGGAAGGGACAGAGGGGACCCAGGCTAGATGCAAATCCTCAAATTCACCTATGTGAGTTGAGTACACTCTTCAACGTACGGATACTTGTTGGGGCACCAACTAGGGCGGAGGCCATCGCTTGTTGGGGTGTTCTAACGGAGCAAAGGAAGGCCACTCCAGCGAGCCCCAGCGTCGCTCCGCAGATCGCGAGAGCATCGAGCTCCTCTTGGCAGCGACACAGGCAGGAAGACATTGGGCACGTTTGAATCTAGGACGGAGCAAGGAGGCTACTGGCAAAGGGCATCGCTACGAACGGAGCAAGGACGCTACTAGGGGCTCCTGGCCTTACTACTAGGAACAAGAAGCTACTAGGAGCATAGGAATATCTAGGAACCAAATGAAGAGCGCGAGCGCTTTTTCAAGGAGCCCCCGTCGCCTTCAGGGCGGCACGGGGAGCTTCCTTGAGGAAGCGTGAGCTATTTTGCGTCCTAGCTAGGAGCGTCCAGTACCTAATAGCTACATATAGCTACTATAGCTTGCCTCTTCTTAGTCCTAAGACAATAACAAGAACGACTCATGATTGGAGACCGATCAGGGATCGATGTGAAGCTCGGCCTGCCCAGGTGCTTTTTGACCTTTCTCGGCTGGTGATGGTGGATCAAGTGCAGGAGAACCTTCAGACCTACATGCAGGCAAAGTGAAATCCCTTGTGCGAGGAGTTTGGGCACGTTCGAGCCTTTCCAGTGGGTGGTGGTGGATCATCTAATCCAATTTCTGCAACCTTGTAAAGGCACAATTTGTCAAATATGCCAGCATCAAAGACCTCCGATGGGCCTTCCTTCTACATGAAGTCAGTTCGCTACGAATGTCACTTTAGTTAAGACACCATCGTTTGGGTCCAAAACATCTTGATCCCCAAACGTTGGATGGACGTTCGCCCATCCAGCTCATCCGAGCCGTCCATCACTCCCGACAAGGGGATCTTGGCGTTGTTGCAGCGGCTGGCGCCGAATGCTGCCAGCTCAGAGCTGCTACAGGAGCTTTGTGGGCTCCTGGCCATGCATCCTGGCATCAGAACAGGGACGGAGATTGGGAATGCTCATTGACCCAAGTCAAAATCACTTGATCCACTATGAGGCCATCAACCTTGCTGTCCATGTTTTGGCTGCCTTTGTTGCTGGAGATGTCGGTTCCTTCACCAAACCCACGCCGCGAGTCGTAGGGACAGACTCTTCGCCACACGCTTTGCACCTGATCCAGATCCGGCATCCCAACCAGCAGAATGAAGAAAAATCCCTTGAAGACTTTTTGTTGGGCCAGGTCTGAGTTTGGGTATGTTTGTAGTTATTAGGTCCATCTAGGCCATCGCTCTTAGGTCCTGGCTATTTGGCTGGAGGCCGGTTGGCTAATAGCTCCGGTTGGTCTTCCGACTCGCCGAGGTGGCTCAGCCGCTACGGGGAGGTCCTCGAAGCGTTCGTGGGCCGTTCCGTCGAGGCCGCGGCGTTTTGCGTTCGCTTGCTGATTGAGACATGGGAGACCTTTTGGAACACGCTTGGCTTCAAGAAGGATGCCACCTTCCTGGAAAAAAATGGACGGTAGCAGCCTGCTATTTATCTCCATTGCCCATCTCGCGAACGACCCACAAAGTCTGATGATTCTAGGGCTGGCAACCAAGTTGATTGATAGATATTGAGAACGGAACTCCTCCCTTGGTCAACCAGAGTCACATGGTAGAAACAAGAAGCTAGTAGTAACAAGTGCCACGCTTCTAGTAACAAGTGCCTTACTGGTAGTAACAATGTTTGCTATTAGAAACAAGTTACTACTAGTAGTAACAAGTTGGTAAACATGGAATCAATTCATGTCCACCAACTCCTTGGGCCCCAGGCGGTCTGGTCTTTGCTCATCAAGCTTGACGAAAGCACCGAGCACGATGCACTGGTGATCTCTGCCATTGCCGTTCTCTCTTCCGCACCTTGACTCTCCACAGAAGTAGTGCAAGAAGCTTTAATTTAATTTAATTCTAATAGCTGTTTGTTACTACCAGTAAGGCACTTGTTACTACTAGCGAGGCACTTGTTACTAGTAGTCTCATAGGCCCGTGCAACTTCCCATATCCTTCGCGTGTAGCTGGCGGGGCGTGCTTTGTTTGAAAAGACCAGCGATGCAAGAAATCTGCCGGTCTTTCAACACGGATCGTCTCATGACAAAAAATCTAGAGAGATACGTTGATCTTTTTCAACATCTTTTACATCTTTTTCACAGCTCTTTGCTGCTAGGTTGGAGGCCATCGCTGGGTCGCGGCTTGAGGGCTCCGGCTCCGTTCGGGACGGTTCCTTTCGGCCGCTGTGAGGTCTCGTGTCAAGAGTGGCAGGCGTCGCCCTTCAAGGATCCAACTGCTCCTTGGCGACTGCGAAGCGGATGCGGTTCGACCTCGCTGTGTTTATAGGTTCCCTAGTAGTAGAGTCCTTGCTCCTAGTAGTGAGGCCAGGAGCCCCGTTCGTAGCGTCCTTGCTCCTATAGGTTTGAAGCCAGAACGGGGAGACCATGAACGGCAGGAATGAGTCATCCCTATTCGGATGTTTTCGAGTGTTCCAGGTTGCAAGTTCAGGCATTGCTTTGAAGGAGGGGAATGACTCCAACCACTCCAGCTACACGTTACAAGAAGGATACTCGTTGGTGACCTGTTTCCATGTATGTCTTTCTCCCCGTGTCATACATGGCATAGAAGAGATGCCGCACGAGACCACAGGTCTTAGCCGCCATTTGTGAGCGAGTGGTGTTGCCCAACCTGAAGCTCCGCGCCAGCGATCTGGAACTCTTTCAGGACGACCTGCAGGACGTGCCAAGAGTAGAGGGAAGAGACGGTTCAAAAGTTGAGGTGATAGCATCTTGTTACTACTAGTAAGGCACTTGTTACTAGAAGCGATGCACTTGTTACTAATAGCGCTTCTTGTTACTACTAGTAAGGCACTTGTTCCTACAGGAGTTGAGGCGGAAAACATGATCATACAATATCATACATTGTTACCACTCCACTGGGTTTTTGCAGTTTGAGCCGAGGGGCTGTAGCCGAGGGGCTGTGTGGTTGGGATGGCTGGCTTGACCTTGTGAAAAGGAGGAGGCAGGATGTGGTGGAAGGGAAAGGGAATGATTCAAGATGATTCACGTCCATCTCCGATGTAAATGTATCAGTGCGAGTTGTCAGAGAGGAATGGACGTGTTGCCTTTACCGGGACACCATCACAGAAGGTTGGTAGAAGACCCGTCTAGAGGAGGAGGCCATCGTGGTTGGAGGCCATTGCTTCCACGTTGGAGGCCGCCATTAGGTTGGAGGTAATTCCGAGGTCCAATTCTTTGACTCTTCCCACCCTGGATGATCTGGGAGGAGTACATCGCGCGGGATGTGGAGGGCAACGACATCCAGACGCGGCGCTGGGCAGCCATCGACCTGGTTCGTTCGCTGCGGAGGCGCCATGACAAGGAGACCTGTGCACCTCAGAGGAAGAGGTGAGTAGGTGATTAGGTGGGCGTGTGGGCAGGCAGAGTGGGCCGGAAAACTCCGCAAGAGCATTTTCACAGCCACTCTGTGGGGTGGGTGAGAATGCCCAGCCATCCTGGATGAGAAAAGGCCCAATGGCCTTTGAACGTAAGGGATTGTACGATGACATCATGTTATTTTCCTCAGAACGATCCCTGTATGCGAGATCTGTGTTGTGTAGATGGAATTTTCAATAATTGAAGACGAGGGCCTGTGGAAAGAAGAAACTTGAAAAATGCTCGGGGTCACATGCGGTTGTTTTATACTGGACTACTGGATAGGAAATCTGAGATATGATAGCTCCTAGTAGCTTCTTGCTACTAATAGTAGTTTCTTGCTACTAGTAGTAGCGTCCTTGCTACTAGTAGCAAACAGCTACAAGGGCTGGGGCTGCTCTGACGGTCTTCTTTCACTTCAATGCGACATTGGTCTTGGTCAGTACAACACCAGCCGAGTCGTGGTAAACAAGCAGACGGATGGGTTTATGCTTCTTTATATGTTTCTATGCTGCTCTCCAAGCAGAAGTTGTCGGAAACAAGTCATCCCAGACTGCCAAAAGCATTTGGCACTGGTGGGTGCTATTTGAATCAGTTCAGTTCTACACGAGGTTTTCAAAGCCTTCGATTCAGGCCGTTTTCGGCCCGAATAAAGCTATGGCCCCTCGTCTTCTCAGCCCGTCGTTTTCGGCATCGAGGAATTCGTGGTGACCTGCATCCAACGGGTTCTGCGAGAGACCGTCGCCGACCCACGGAGTGCAGCGATTTGTAAGCATGCCGCTGGAGACTGGATTGGGTGCGGTTTGGGGTACACCGGAAAGGAAGAAACGACTTAAAAGGAAAGTGGAGTTGAGACACTAAGCAGGTTTTTTGCCGAGTCCCCAGAAAGATGTAGAAGTCCTATCCAGCAGAAGTTGAGACTCGATTGAATTTGCATCAAATTGAAGCAGCGAAATCAGCTACTGTAGCAATGGCCTCCAACCTAGTAGCTTCTAGCTACTAGTAGTAATGCCCTTGTTACTAGTAGCGATGCCCTTGTTGCTCAAACCTCCAAGGCATGCAACATGTTTGTACTTTGATGCCCTCCTGACAGTATGCGATTTGCACGCTTTGATGAACGTGTTCAGCCCTGTTCAGCCACACTCAAAAATTTGCCCAGCCCATTCCGTTTTGCACCTTTGCTTGGTGTATCTTACCACTTTTGGGTGATTCAAGGCCTGTATCCACCTGGTGATTAGCATGGCTGGCTCCACCGGAGGGCAAAGCATCCAAAGCCCTGGTGGCCTGGCTACGGAGTTCTTCAAGGAACAGCTGGGCCCAGAGCTCCTGGCTGTGCAAGCGCCACCCCAAGGTGCCTGGTGGGACTGGCAGCAAGTGTCGGGCTTGTCGATTCCTGATGAGTTTCCAACATCCTTGATCCAACCTACTAGCGATGGCCTCCAACCTACTAGAAGATCGAGAGACGGTGTATTCAGTGGGGAACTAGCAGGAACGATCAATTTGCCCCCTTTTTTGCCAGTTCGTGCAGTGAATTTGGGCGCTTCAGAGTCCAGTCTTCGTGTGAAACTTTGTCTCAGGAGTTTACAATTGGTTCACTGCTCTTCATTAGAGGTAGCACATCGCCCCCCTTCCAGTCTGTCTGTAGCGAGGTACTTCTGTGGAGGCGGTGCTTTTCAAAGCAGCGGCTTGGTGCGGTAACAGGATCGCCGTTTGGATTCCGATGGATCATGTCAAGCATTGGCGCCGATACATAGAAGGTACTTGTGTAAAGGGAACTTTTGTCGATCATTTCTGGCGTCTCAGCTTGGATGCTTTGGTGCATGGCAAACGCATATGTTGGTGGACGCATAGTGGAAATTCATAAAACTTGGTTAAGTTCTGCTAGATACTATAACTATAAGGCATCCCTCTTAAGTTATGTTATGTGTGTGTTTTTTCCAGTTACGTGCTAAGCATCTTGGAACGGACCGTAGGCACGTTGGCACGTCCAGTCCCGGACTCTACTTCGCCGCGATGACGCCCCAAGGCTTGCCTCAAGTTCCTCACGGTGCTGCGGAACATCCTTCCAGCCCCTTGGCAGGGCCAAGCTAGCGATGGCCTCCAAACTTGCATTTAGCTTTAGTAGGTCCAACTCGGAAAAACTGCACAGTGGATGCAGGATCCAGGTGCGCAATGCCACCACTCACCCCAAACTACGGTATGGCGGCCTTGGCAAGAGGCCAAGAGCCACAGCCAGGATCTTGCCCGTGACAGGGAGTTCGGACAGGAGCATTACGTTGCGGCTTACAGACGTTCGATAGCATGGTTCCGAGTTCCACTGCATCAAGCGGCATCCCTTCCAGGTGGCATGATCATGGAAGACCTATTCTGACGCTCTGACACTGCCTGATGAGACGCTTTTCCACAGAGATACCCACAATTCATGGCTCGCCCCTATGCTACTAGCGGCTCCTGGCCTTACTACTAGGAGCAAGGACGCTACTAGGGGCTCCTGGCATCGCTACGAACGGAGCAATGCCTTCGCATGTCACGCATGTCGAGCCCACGTACATCGACCTCTCAGGCTGAGCTGATGTTGGGTGTGCTTCCAGTTTTGCCTTTGCTGCTGCAGGCGGGTGCTCTTTTGCTTAATGTGTTTTTCGCCGATGGACTTGGGAGACCAGGATTTATAAGGCAATAAATTGGTGCTTGGAATATCCTTGCTGGAGCGTCACTATTTATGACCTCCAGATCGATGCTTTTGAGCCTTTTCCCGGAGGGTCCAACGTTCGCTCGAAACGAACCGAAAGAATGCGCTGCAAAAACAGCATACCGCCGAAGCGTCGCGAGGCGGAGCACCCGCTGCTGCACAGCTATGCGGCCATTTGTGCGAACGTGCTCACCACTGTGCAGGAGCGCGTCCACGAGCCAGGCCACAGCTGCGAAGAGCTGTGACGGAAAGCGACGGAAAGCGATGCATGTGACTGGCCCATTTTCACGATGCTTGGTGAAAAATCGCCAAAATCGCTGTGAAAAAGCTAGTTAGCTTTAGGTCGCAGATGGTCGTAGGTTTGGTTTTTATCACCGATCTGATTAATCGAGTCCAAGAACGTAGAATTCCTTGTGCAAGTTTGAATCGAATGATTAGCATTTGGCTCGGCTCGCGAAGGCAGGGCTTGCTAAGCAAACTGCAGGTGCCTTGCCGCTTTGGCGTCCGCGCTACCGGCGTGAGCAGCTGGGGCCGATGCTCCTGCAGATGATCCCCACGATGCTGCAGATCCTGGTGGAGGTGGGATGACAACGCAATCACACGAAGGGTCATGAAGGCTTTTACTTCGCATCTGACCTGATGGTAAAAAGATAACTCGACTCTTGCTAGTTAGTTGATGTAGGGGAAAGGAAAGATGGAAGGACGAGAAATGGTATGAAATAGTAGGTAGCACTGGTATGACATTATGACGTGTGGGAAACACCTGGAAAAGCGGTTTCTGCCAGCCAATTCTCACTCATGGCAAAGCGGTGTGCAGGGACGGAGCATCCCGAAGAACACGCACCTCATTCGGGCGCTTTTGGCTTGGCTGAACTTTCTAGGTGCCGGCGAAGCCACGCATTCCGTCGTGCGCAATGCGCTTCGGGGAGATGATTTAAGAGGTAGTATGAGGTAGTGAGCACGCAGGTTTGTTAAAGAAATGTTTTGCTGTTCAGACTCATGTCCTTGTTTGCCTTTGCTTGCTTGACGTCTAGACTTTGGGGCACGCACCCAAGCATCCGTTTCTCCACTTTGGGGGAACATCACTTGAGCTGACACACGAGTTGGAGGCCATTGCTACCTACCTTCTAAGGGCATCCGGCGGTGAACGGCTTCACGCATCCACCAATTCCTGCATACGAACGTCGAACGTGTCGTGGAATGTGTCGTGGTGGCCGAATAGGCAACCCACCCTCAGATGTGCCACCCTGAATGCCCCAAAACCATCCGAAACCCATTTATGTGATTTACGAAACAATTTCAATACGTTGTCTGCTTGAATTGGACTTGTGGCTTGTGCCCATGTCGGGTGCTTATGGTGTACGAGTCTGCTATATTTGTAGTGATCAGTCCCAAAGACCTTCGGATCGAAGACGGAGGTGGTTTTGGAAATTGGTGGAAAAATGGCAGGTTTTAGGGGTCTGTGCATGGTGCAGTGGTTTTCTATGGTTTTGAGGTGATTAAAGGTTGGTGGAGGAGATTGGTCAGGTGGTTTCACAAGTTTGGGGCGAAGCTTCTACTCATGCTAACTCCAAACCTACAGGAACCCAGTGACAAGGATCATCCTCCAACCTACAAGCGATAGCTTCCAACCTACAAGCCATGGCCTCCAACGTACTAGCGATGGCCATGGCCT